TCCCTTTCTTTCCCCCCAACATGTACCCCGGAAATGCCTGCTTTTGCAGCTCAAAATTCTGGTTTAGGATCTGCTCCAGCTCTGACAGAGGCTTTTTGGCTGCATCCCCACCAGCAATCACCCGCAGTGGGGGTGTCAGCCCCACCACCAGCGGCTCCTTGAATTCAGACCTGTCAAAATCAGGGGGGGAGTCCTTTGAGCCAGGCAGCCCAGCCATCTGGTAGAGCATCTTTTTACGGTTAACATAAGCATCAGGCCTCTCCTCGGGGTTTTGCTTCTCCTGGTGGAAGAGCACTAAGGGGTTGACCTCTGGGAAGAACACCTTCAGCACGGCCAGCTGGACATCCCCAATGTCCTGGACATTGCCCATCTGCACATCCCCCGGCAGTGATGCAAAATCATCTGGTTTCATGCACTTTCTCACAATGTCTATCAGGTCACCCACAAAGTTGCCGCTCTGGCACTTGGGCAGACGCTGGACCCTGGACAGCCAGTTAATTGCCGTCTCCTTTGTCAGTGGCCCCAGCATCTTCCCCACTGTCTTAAGCTGCTCAGGGGTAAACCAGAGCACAGCCCTGTTGGTGTCTATGGGCTGGAGTGGGACGTGGCTGACAGGCTCATCATGGTGGACCTTTTTATCTTTGGAAGCCTCTACCTCCCCTACTTGCAGCTGGCACACCTCCTCCCGCAGAGGAGCATAGGGGGACGGCCTGGTGGGGCTGTTAGCACCCCACACATCATCCTCATAATCGTAGTGGGGTGGGTGCAGGTCCAGGGAGTCCTCCCCCTCACCATTCCCAATCGGGGTCCTCTTGCCTTTAATGGCAGCCACAATGCCCCTTGACACCCCCAGCTCTGCCTCCAGCTCCTGGATCTTGGCATGGCACACCTTGTGATCGGGGCCAGTGCCCCGGTCCCGCTGGACGTCCTGCAGGACCGCCCGCACCGCGCTCTGCGCATCGTGGGTCTCCCCGATCCACTTGCCAACCTCCTTTTTCAGCTCCTCTGTTTTCAGCTTCTCATAGCCCAGCTTGCTTTCCAGCCGGGTAATCTCCACCGCGCTCCGCAGAGAGTCCCCACACAAACCCTGCACCTCCGCCCGCAGGTTGTCCACCTGGACTTTGAGCTCCTCCTTGGCCTGCTCCAAGGTCTGCACATTCTCAAGAGCCTCTTTCAGCAATTTGGACAACTCCCTGCCTACCATCAGCAAACCCTGCAAAGCCGCTCGCTTCTTACACTTGTTAGTGGGTTTGGGCTTTTTGTTCTCCTCCGACCAGCTCTCCCACTGCTGGCACAGCTGCTGGTACGCGTCTGGGCCCTGGAAAGACCCTGGTGACCAAATCGGGGGGAGACACTTCTGGAGCACAAACTGCTCCAGCTTCCAACTGCTAACGATGTCGCTCATCATAGCAAAGGGGACAAGATCTGAGACAGCTCCGTCTCAGGGCAAAACTACCATAACACACCAGCACTGACAAACCCAACTTCAACCCCTCCACAGAGCAAGGCCGCAACTCCACAACCACCCTTCCAAAAAGACCCCTGGGGGGACACCGAGCCTGGGCACAAGGGAAGGGGAAGGTGGGAGCAGGAGGCCACGGCCGGGCCGGCAGCTGCCGCGAGCCGCCGGCTCCCGGGAGGGAGCGGGGAAGGGATGTGGGAGCGGGTGAAGCAAAGGAGAGACGGAGTAGGAGCCCAATAATAAGATCTCACCAATCCTCGGCTGAATGTTCCGGCAGTCCCAGGAGTTTGGAGATGGTCTCTGCAGAGGTCCAGCAGATCCGGCACCTTTAAGGTAAAGGTGGTCACGAAGTCTCAGCCTGGAGATTTTTATAGCCATGGCAGGTCGTTGTTTGGGGCTGGTGACACCTGTGTTTACTTCCTTGGTGGCTTTTCCTCCTCCGTGTGCTGCCTTCCCAAGGACACTTTCCTTGTCTTTCCTTATCCTCTTCAACACTGATTAGGGAAGCTGAGATCACATGGCAGCACCTACACTGCCCCCCTTATCTGTTTGGGGAGGTCCAGGATTAGGCATGGCTCACACTAAACTCCTGCTTGCACCAAATGTCCTGAAGAGGGAGAGCTGGAGCCTGTCCTCTGACTGTCCATCCTCTCAGAACCCCCATGGCCCCCTCATTTACTGCACACCCCATTAGCACCTGGGGTTTGTGAGGAGATCACACCTGACACCTGTAACAAACCCAGTCCTGCCAAACCACCCCCCAAGCACAGATCTGTTTGCCAGGGAGGGATGAAATGACAGGAAAATTCACACAAATCATCATTTAGATCCATTTTGGTATCTGGTCTTTAAAAGCAGCATTTTTCTGTGCCACAGCCCAGCTCATCATACACTATCATGGACCTTGGGGTTACCCCATAAAATGTCAGGAGCCTCAACTGTGATGCAGCTGAATTGCAGCTGTAAATCTGCACCTGCAAAAGCAGATGGACCCCCCCCAACCTCTCCAACCACATCTTAGCTTGGAGAAGTTTAGAATATTTGACCCACTTGTTTTGGGGTTTTTTTCCCTGTTATTACACTCAGAAAAAGGTACCAATTGTTTCACTCAGTGAAAATGCTATCATTTTCATTACTGCTTTTACCTCTAATGAAATACTGCAGAAGCTAAACCCTCCACTAGAATAAAACCATTTTTAAAAAATTTAAAAAGGATAAAAAATGTTCACAGCTGCTGGAGCCCCAGGGAGTTTCAGTCCTGCATCTCTTTACCCCCAGAGCAGCCCTTATTTCTACATACTGCAGTACTGGCTTGTGTTGGACTGCCTGGAGGCTGAGCAGCCTTCCCTGACCCCCAAAATCAATCCTTTTAGCCTCAAAAGCACAGGAAGAAAGAATTTTTCTCTATTTTTATGTTAGCTGTTTTCTCTAGCCTGGCACTTACAGCCCAGCTGCAATTAACCTCCTCTGCAGCATGGGAGTTTAACAGATATGAAACCCCAGCCAGGTCCTGCTTCTTGGCTTTAAACCCTGTTCTTATACACCAATGATTTGCTCCAGCCCCTCAAAACAAACACTTTATTGTAGGAAATTCATAAGGGGGGGAAAAAGAAAGAGTAAAAAATGCAGAAAAGCTGGTGAAAGCACCAGAAATGAAGGTGAGGTGGGTGAGGTGGGCAGGATGCAGGCTGGAAAAAAGAAGAGGGGCTGTTTCCCACTAGAATGAGTCCACAGGGAGCCTAGTTGGGCTGGGGACAGGAATGGTTGTCTTAATTTCAGAAAAAGAATAAAATTCCCCTAAAAATTGTGCAGCTGCATAGTACAAATACACCAAAATTCATCGATTCCCCCCAGCACGGCCCAGCCGTGAGCCAAACACTGGTGATTAGGAGCTGCTATTCCTCAGCAAGGTCACCAACCAATCTTGCTTGTGTGAACAGATAAGATCACCTTACACCCTTCTTTCCTCCCATCTTCTTCCCAGGACAGCAGCCCCAAACAATGTGGGGATGTTACAAACAGCAGCTGTCTCCTGCACGTGCACACAGTGCTTTGATTTTTGTCAGAGATTTGCTGCCAGACAAAGATTTCCCTCCTCCAAAATGTTTTCTTGTAGGAGAAACAGCCAGTCCTGAGAACAGCTTGGCCACTGGTAAACAGCTCCACTGTGTATAAACAGCAATTTTTTTAAAATTACATTTCATCCATGTTCCAGTACATTATGCTTTTACATTTCATATATTTCTTGTGCTTTCTCTAAAGCTGCTATAATGTCCTGGAGAGTCATCCCAGTGTAACACCCCCTTATCCAAGGTTGTAATGATGGCAAAAATCAAAAAATTATTCCCCACCTCTGGGAAATATTCTTGTCCTGGCCAGGAAGCCAGAAGTTGCCCCAGGTGACAGCAGCAGTGGGAAAAGAGGGACCATTGCAGCAGCTGGGGATTTTGGTCTCAGCTCACACACTTCACCATAGGGATGAAGGGAAAATTCACTTGCAGTGGCATTTCTTATGACAAGTACTCCCTGCCCCACCACCTCGAAAAAAAAGAGTGTTTCACCTCATTCTAAGGAGAGCCCAATCTCGGGGTGATGTGAAACAAAAGGGACAGATGAGCAGCAGGTGAGCACAGCAGAGGCAAGTGTTGCTGCAGCCCATATCCAGGGCTAAGCACTGAAAAGGGTTTGAAAACAGCACTAAAAATGCCTTCTGCCAGGAAAGAGTTAGGGAGCAATTCAGCCCACCCTAAAGTTTAGCAGATGAGCCTTTTGTGGCAAGGGTTTTGCACTTAGCAACCCGCTTCGAGCAGGAAATTAATTTGAACAGAAATGGGGAGAGGATGTGTTACAGCAGCATGGAAAATCTGGTATAAAACAGACCAAAAGCTCACAGGGTACAAGATGCAATATTGTTTTTCCTATTCATCTCTCAGCTCAACCCTGGGGGAGGTTTCTCGGTGCCCCCATGTGAGATTTCCTTTTCTGGGGAGATGCTGGGGCATCGTAAGGACCACGAGTATCTGCATGAGAGGGACATAAAAGAAAACTGAATCTCACTTGGCAGCCAAGAGGGCAGCAAATAAACAAAAATAACTAAAAATAATATTTTTTCCCCAAACATGAAAATATTGAAGCCTGCTGACACCAGTTCATCTCTGTAATTTCACCTCATGTACTTGTCTTTGAATCCTAAACCCCAAATGCTTCAAACCTCTTCCTCACAGACATTTCAAAGTCATTCTGATATTTTATCATTTAAATATTTCTGCCTATGAGCCGCATGTTGCCACAGCTACTGAAGCAGCACATGCTCTGAGGTGGAAAGCCCCAGCAGAATTTCCTCATCTTTGTGGTTTTTCAGCCACAAATTTGTTTGTGGTCTCTTGCTCTTGATTTCAAAGCTTTCTGTGATGCTTCACATCTCTGCTTTATGTTGGCTTGGTCTGATGTTCATCATTTTTCAGAGAAAAACACCTGCTATAAATTCTGCTGAAGAAAACAACTCCACAGATCAAACTGCATCTTTTCCTTGTTTTGAATGCTTTTTTATTTCAACAAGGAGAAAACCAGCCAAATTCATGCTTTCCTTCTTTTATCTTTAAGGCCACGGTTCTACATTTGTAATATTTTTATAGGATAGAAGCCTGTTAAAAAAAGGAGGAATAACTAGGTGGTGAAATATGAAGAAATCAGAAGAAATTAAAAATCAGTGAGTTTTCTTGGTTTTATTTTTCTAAAGGGGATTTAAGGGTACCCTGTGAAGTGCTGGAGAAGAGCACAGGGCTGCTGCCCTGACGGACTCTTGGGTTTGAGGCTCGGCGCAGAAGAAGCTGCCGGGCTGAGGCTCCAGGTGCTGCTGTGGCAGAGGCTCTTTGGCAGCTGCTGGTGACAGATCTGCACAGAGAGGGGCAAGGACTTCCTGAGGTGAAGCCAGCCCTGCCTCCAAGAGGTGGCAGCGAGTGGAAAGGGGGAGCTGGCACAAAACCCCTCTGCCACCGAGTCTGCCACCATGGCCCGGCCATGGCTCCATCTCTGCATCTGCCTCCAGATCCCAGGTAAGAGGGACACAGCTCCTGAGGGTTGAGGGCACCTAAAATCCTGCTGGAGCCTCTCCTCCACCACACTCCAGCAGCTGGAAGATTAAATATGCCATCACAATAGAGATCTACAGGGTATTATTACTTGTTTCAAATAATTTTGGATCATGCTATTAATAACATGCTTTAGGTTTTAATCAGCCCTGAACTGGTCAGAAAGTGGGACCAGTTGGTTGCTGTGGGTCCCTTCCAACTGAAACAGTCTATTTTATTCTATTCTATTCTATTCTATTCTATTCTATTCTACTCTCTCTCTATATATATATATATTGATCCATACATAGTGGTATAGACACCACAAGAGTTTTTACTCCTCAGTGCAGATGAGCTGCAGGAAGCTGCTAATGGAGAAGTTAAAATAGCTCCTCTCTCCACTGCCTGTGTAACATAAATATGGTAAACATCCCAAAATTTCTAAATCATCCAAAGGCTGAGTACTTCCCAAGGGCCACAGCTGAAATTGGTGTGTTATAAAACCATTCTGCCTTACAGGTTCTGATATCCTATAGATCTGTGAGGTGGGGAGCCCACTGAGAAAACCTCAATAAATGGGATTTTGCTTTGCCCATGCAAAAGGAAAAGGGGTAATTTTTAAGTTGCTGCAGGCTGGTCTGGCCAAGCACCGTGATTCCCCATGGTCCCCCTGAATATTCACCAGGAAAGGGAACAGAGAGGTTTTGGGGTTGAAGGTATGACTGAGGATGAGTTTTGTTCTCTGTCTCCATCCCAGCTCACTCCTGGCTTGGCCACTGGCACTGAGCTGAGGTATTCCAGAAACTCTTCTTACCTTTTCTGGCTTATATAATAGTGTCTTCAACAGATCAAGGATAAGTTTTTCATGGAGAGTTATGTTTCCCCTGCCCAGCAGAGTCAGACCTCAGGGCACTCAAGGAGACCCTGAAGCCCCCATGTGCTGTGGCCAGACACATTTCACCTCCTACAAACCCACACAGGTGTTTTCCAGGACAAAATCTGAGAGAATTTCACTCTAAAACCTTAAAATTATATATTTTAATAATAAGGAGACATTAATGTTGTCACAGAGCCAGAGGATGTGGTGAAATGCTGCAGCTACTGTGCAACACTGGAATGTTGGCATTGCAATGTCAGTGTTCTGCAGCACTGGCAGCAATGGGGTCATTGGTGTGGGGACAGAGGAAGGCTCTGGACCCCTGTCAGTCACCAAAGCCCTCTCCTCTGCCTGTCCCATTGGGAACATGGGAGACATCAGGACCCTGTGCCACATTTAATGGCTTTAGATGTTCCTGGGTCATGCCAACCCATCCCCACACCACTGGGTTAACAGGGCTGCATGAGGCTGAAAAAGCTGCTGTAAGCAACTTCAGGATTTTGAACAAAAAGGAACATTTTAAAGCAAAAAAAAGACAAGAAACTTATTATTGAGCTTTTTGCACAGCTTTAAAACACGCCTGGGAAAGAGACGGGGGCAGCAGGAGTGTCCTTATCTCCAGAGGGCTGTTTTCACTCGGGCTCAGAGTATCTGCAGCTTTGCAGGACTGTTTGCTGAGCAGCAAGGATCACAAGTTACCTGTTATCCTTCCCACAAGGACACATCCTCGCTCTCACAGGCACCCCTCACGTCTGCCTGGGCCAAACAAGACTCAGATAATTTCCACAAAGCTGCAAAGCCCAAACAGGGCGATGTGATGCCAGACCAAAGCTTTGAACCCCACCGCTGCCCCTCACTCCCTCTCCTTCCCCATGTCTCAAAATTCCTTTGAAAAATATTATTGTCTGAAAGCTAATATCAAATTGGCTCATTTTGAGATGTTTTGCATGTTTTTTGGTCTCTTTTTCTGCCCCTGAAATGTTTATCAGTGTTGTATCTGTTAGAAGAAAAACTTGGCAAATCAGTTAAGAGGCACTAAAATTTGTTGGAAAAGGGGTGAAATGTCTGAAAAATGAGAAATGTAAGAAGGGCAGGAGAAGGGGCATTCACAGGAGCAGGCAGGGATGCTCTTCCCTGCACATACAGCCCCAAGGACACCCTCAAAACCATCCCTCCATCTCTCTCCCTGTCAGTAAGACTCCTTAGATGAGTGTTTAAAGAGAAAAGTCTGCCTGTATAATTTAGCTTTTGGCCAAAACAATAGCTGGGGAACCCAAAAATGCCTCTGTGGGAATATGGAAGCATCCTGATAAAAATGCTCCTGTATCTCACTTGTGTGACCCCCCTGGTCTGTGTGTCTACTGTGATTTTATTAATCCCATAAAGAAAATCTGTATTTAGCACAAAAGGAAAACAATGAAATTAAAATAATGCCTGTATATTTCTCTTTTTCCTTAGGTTTTTATACAACTCTACTTTTAACCCAAACTCCAGAGCGTATTCTAACCCAAACTAACAATAAAACTGAAATCCTCTGTGAGCTGAAGAAGGAGCATACCGGGGTGTACTGGTACCGCTGGAGCCAGCAGAAGCAACATTTCGAGTTCCTGTTGTTTTCCAACACACTGAGCAAAGCCACATATGGCCCAAATGTGAGGCAGGACAAGTTCAGTGTCCACGAGGCCAGGTCCCAGAGCTCCTACAGCCTGCACATCAGCCACCTGCAACCCTTGGACAGCGGCACCTACTACTGCTCCATCTCCCAGTCCTCCCAGCTGCTCCTGGGCAGTGGGACACAGCTCACAGTGGGTAAGCAGCACCCTCGGGCTTCCAAAATGTGCCACCAGTAGGCTGTGATCAGCCTGGGAAAGGGGCGATTTGATTCTTCCCAAATTTGAGTTGCAAGGTTGGGGCTCTGGGTTTTTTTTCTATGAGAGCGGATAAAGCCGAAAATACAGAAAATCGCTAAAATTTAGGTCAGCTTCATGTGATAGTCCTTTTGCCATCAGCAGCTGCTCTGCTGTGGGCATGCCTTGAGCACAGCATTGCTCCTAGTGCTCCAGGATTTCCATGGAAAGACCTGGTATTGCCATGCCCTGTGTTTTTCTCATTCCCTGCTGTACTCTGGATGAGAGGCTGGATGTGTGCCCTGCTCAGCTCACAGGTCCTTCCATCCCATAATTCTTCCTTACCCTCACTCCAAGTGACAAGAGCAGCATCGAGACCAGAGAGCATCACCCCTCACATCTCTGGGGGGGGGTCTGATGGCAGCTTTCAAGACCACCCCTTCAAAAAAAACCACTGAAATGGGATTTATCCCTCAAAGCTCACTGCCCACTATCCCTGGGGAGATCCAAACAGGAATAGCAGTTTTCTGCAGGTGTCATGGGAGGAGAGAGGCTTTACAGACATCTGGGTCATACAGAAGCTCTTTTCAGCCTGTTTTCCTTTTGACCACAGAGCAGTAGTTGATGCAGAAAAACTAATGTATTTGAAGTGGGATTCAGCCTCTATTTTTGCAGACTTCTTTTAGGGAGACAAATAACTTATTTAACTAAGATACAAATAACTTATTTAACTGAAATGCCACTACAGCTTCTGACTCTAAAGCAGACCCAGTGTCCCAGTTTTTCTGGGTTTTTTTGCAAATACACTCTGTACCTTGAACTGGATGAGAAATCCCTTTAGGATTCTTGCAGGCTCAGAGAAAAGCTGGTTTAAGATAAAAGAGAATTGTTTTTTAACAGCTGGGCACATATCTCTGTGCAAAGCATGAAAAACAGGCTTGAAATGCAGCTTGATCAAGGACACCAATTAAAAACTAAACAGCAGCAGGTGCTCTGGGAAGACTCTGGGAAGGCTTGGCTGGATATTTTCTTTTTTTCCTTTTAGTTCTCATGATAAAACAAATTGTCTTTAAGTTTCTTTTCCCTAAGTCTATTGTAATTTGAGGGAGAAGTTATCCAGATAAATCCCAGAGCCCTGATGTCTCATCTTTTCATGTAAAAGAATGGTAGTTTCTGTAGGAATTTATATCCTGGATAGAAACAGAAAAAAAAAATAGTTTTCAATCACCTAAAATTTGGAATAAATATGGTTTGAGCAGTCAGACATGCAGCTATTTAATGACATCACTGGCTCATTTTCCTGGCCAACTATATTCAGGAATGAATGTGTTCCATTGTAATTTAGATACACCATAATAAATCCTACCCTCATTTTGTCAGAAAAAAAAAAAAATCAAATGTTGAGCAATTAGAGCAATATGAATAAGGAAAAGATCCAGGGATCCCTTAAAACATTCCAGTGATGCTGAAATCTCCTGCTACCCATGATTTTGTGCAATTCTGGTGAGATAATGCTTGGAGCAAATGTCACTGAAGCAAGTTTGGGGGTTTTCCCTGCATTAGCCTTCTTTACCTGGTACATTATTTCATTAACACTTTTAAAAGCTCTTGGTAACTCCTGTGAGCCCCCAGAGGCTCAGGTCAAGCTCACCCCTCTGAGTGACAGAGCCCTTTGCAGGGCTCACAGGCTGGGGCTCGTTCCAAGGCACAATTTCTCCCCTCTTGGCTGCTGTTGGAGATCTCTCTGCACTCAGAGCCACACTCACCACCTTCCTTTTCTCCTTATCCCCCAGTTGATGCTTTGCCTCCAAAGACCACACAGACACCGGTGTCCAAAAAGCCTGTGCCACGGACAACCAAAAGCAAAGCTGCCAGCAGGGAAGGTATGGCCCTGTCTCAGCTCAGACTGCCAGGGAAAAGGGGTTTGCTGAGCTCTGGGGTCCTCGGGGCTCAGCTGGAGTTTGTCCTGGGCTGGGGCCACCACAGTGTCACCCTGCAGGAGTGGGTGTCGGGTCCAGATGGACACACTGCTCTGGATAGAGTGACTTCTACCTGTGGGAGGGATTCCCATGGATAGCCACAGGTTTAGGGGCAGGATGGATTTCAGTTTAGGCTCTCATGACCTCCAAGTTCCCTGCAATGCCTTTCTTACTGTGAGGGGGACTGAGCCCCAGAACAGGTTGCCCAGAGAGGTCGTGGAGTCTCCCTTATCAAAAATATGCAAAATCCACCTGGACACAATCCTGTGCCATGTGCTCTGGGATGACCCTGCTTGAGCAGGGAGGTTGGACCAGGAGGTTGGACTGTGGTCTCTTCTTCTTTATCCATTTTGTCATTCTGTGGTTCTGTGGTGCATCCTTCAAAGGTTACCCCAGGGTGATGGTCACACCCTCTGCTCCTCTGGGGGCCTGCCTTGCTTTTCTCCCTTCCCCATCCCCAAAGCTGCTGGGGCAGGGTGGTGCCAGGTGCTGAGTCCTCTCCTCTCTCCAGGTCCCTGCAGTCCCCTGGTCTGGATCCCACTGGCTGCTGGTGTCCTGCTGCTCCTGCTGAGCCTGGTCCCCACCACCTACCGCCTGTACCGTGAGTTCCCTGCCAGCATCCTGAGGGGTGCCAGACCCTGGGGCAGCCCACGAGGGGATGGAGAGCCGGGAGAGGGTCCAGGACTGATGGACACTGTCTCCTGTCTCTTCCCAGGTCTGCGGCGGAGGCTGTGGCTTCGCATCCACAGGCAGTAATTCCCAGTAAACCCCAGTGATTCCCAGTAAATCCCACTGCCCCCCCTGCCTCGGGCAGGCAGGGAGAAGCCATGGACCCTCCCCTGCACGAGGCTGAGCACTGCCTGGATGTGACCCAGGAAGGACCTGGCAGGGGACAGACGTGGGCTCGTCCCACAATACAGACATTTCCTTCCTGCATGGCTTCAACATCCTCCTGGACACAACAGCTGGCAAAAGGACCAAGCTGGAATCTGCAGCATCCTGAGCACTTCCCAAAGGACACTGAGCAGGGCAAATGCCATGGCTGGCTCTGCACAGGGGGAAAGGGACTGGTACCAAAGGGACTCAGATGGGCTGGAAAGCTGTGAGCTCCTTGGCTCTCCTCTGTGTTCATCTGTAGGACAGCACAAAAGTGCTTTTTTTGCTCCTGTTAATACTGATTGATAAAAATCTGTAACAAACACTTTGAGAGCAACCAACGGGGATGGGGCAGAGACAACTTGTAAAGACCCTGTGCAGGTTTATTCAAGACCAAAAGTGAATATATCACTCAGTTATTTTGTTCTGCAGGCTGGTGTCTTTTGGTCCACACGGTTGTGTGGCAAGCAAGGAACCACCGCCTCCAACCAAGAAAGAGTTAAAGCAGAGCAAAAGCTCCAGGGGGGAGCAGATCTGGGAGGGTGTCTTCTCCCATGGGAGACTGCAAACAGCCAGGAGTGGGAGAGGAAAACCAGACAAAGCCATGCACACAAGGCCAAACACTTGGCACAGCCTGAAGGTCAACATCACCTCTGAGAGCAAACAGAGGCCCCCAGGGGCTGGCCCTGAGCCCAGCAGCACAGCAGGGCCAGTGGGAACTGCCCTGAGTGATGCCTGGTTGTGCTGAGCCCCAGGGGACCCCTGTGCCCTGAGCCCTGTGTGACATCCCTGCACGCTGAGCCCCGAGTGATGCCCACGGGTGCTGAGCCTTGAGTGATGCCAGAAGCAGGGAAGGTCTCCCCAGGGATGGCAACAAGGCTCAGCTGCTGCCCAGGGTGCCAAGGCAGAGCTGGGGCTGGAAATTTGGCATCCTGCCGAGCACAGGCAACGAGCACTTGCTCTCAAGTGCCCCCCCAGCCCCACATCTGCTCACACACAGGCACCAGCACTGTGCCAGCTACAGTGAGGGCAAGGGGAAGGTGACACAGAGCCCCCAGGGTTGGGGATAACAGTCTTGGGATGAGCTTGTGCGTGAAAGTGGCACAGCTGTATCACTCTGACCATCCCCTTCCTCCCCTCCCAGCTGCAGGGTGCTGCTGCTTTCCACTCTAATGCTGAATTTCCTGTAGAGCTTGGTCTCAAGCCCAGCTGTTGGTGCTTCCCCTAAATGATGCAGTGGATAAATAAAGCTGGCAGTGGATCACGCTGAGCCAGCTTTCCCAGGCTGTGACACTCACCCAAGCTCTCAGGCCACCCAGCTGTGGGGACACCAGCACGAGATCCCACCCCAGGTGCAGCAGGGAGGGGACTCTGAGCATCTCTGACCCCCAGACACCACAATTTATCCTCTGTGAAAGCTCAGATTAACTAAAACAATCATTTTCCTGCCCTGCAAGTAGTGAGCAGAGCTTTGACCCAGAAGCAGACATTTCTTATGGCATGTACATTTTTCATGACAGCTGTAAGAAACCTCCCTTGAAACTTCCCATGAGCATTTTTCTTTAAAAAGCAGGGGCTTTCCCTCTGTCTGCAGCTGCTTTGAAATCCCAGCTCCCTTTCTCACACTTGAGGTGTCCTGACCTTAATGCCCACACCTTGCTCAGCTCTCCCAGCTGCAGCCAGCACAGGAGAGCACCTCCCATGGCCAAGCAGCAAACACAGGCTGCACAGCCCAATCCTCCTCTCCCACAGGAAGGTGAGCAGCCTCACATAAAACCCTGCTCCTTCTTCTCCACACTCAGGACATCCTCACAGTGCCTGACCTTGGCTGAAACCCCTCCCCAGGACAGCACCGTCTTGTCTTGATAGGTTTCAGTCACTTATCCCAACTCCAGTAACACAAGCACAAAGGAGAGGGATTTACTCCTTGACTCTCTGCTCACCCACAACAAAAAATTTTCTCAATGTCTGAGTTCCCCAGTTAGTGTTCACTTTTTCTTTGTATTTGGGAAAAAAAAAAAAAAAAAGAAAATAAAGAAAGCTAAACCAAAACCCACCCAGACTCTCCATCACCTGTGTGCAGTGAAAACAGGAGAGGACAGTGACAGCCAAAAATGTTGTCTGGCCTATTGAAACACAGGTTTGGGCAGTTTACCAGCAGAAATTATGAAAAAAATTTGTAATTTCTACAGTCATCAATAGAGTGCTTTAGACAGTAAAACTGGGAGAGATTTTAGCAGCAGGTTTCACAATTTTTAGAGTTGATAGATAAAAATAGATTCCCATTTTGTAGATTTTTTTTCCCCCAGAGCATAAATAAGCACAAAACAGAAACACCAATGGAAAGATGCTGAGAAAATGATCCCAGTTCCCTGATATTTGCAGCTTCTTTGCTGAGAACACAGTGATGATGCCAGCCAAGGGTCAGGGATGCCATGTTCTGCTCACATGCCGTGTGGCATGGCATCTCCAACTTAAAAATTAATGGGAAAGTGTTTCCTTGCATCTCTGTAATAGCCTCATCCCTGGATCCATGGAGAGAGTGAGATACAGGTGACAGCATTGCCCATCACAGTGTCACTTCTGCCACCATGTCCTGGCACATGAGGGTCCCTAATTTATTCCTTGACTCCTTCCAATGATGGATCAGCCTTCTCCTGTCTCCCACTGTCACCATCCTGCCTGCAGCAAGGAGCAGCCATACCTAGAAGGAAAAATAACAGGATTTTATAGCTGTAACCCAAATATCTTGCTTCAAAAGTAATAAACTATTTCCTCTTAAATGACAAAAGGAGACACCACAAAATTTGGACAAAGACAAAAGGACAAGGAGTGTTTTGCAGATGTATGGGTTCAAGAACAAAACTTCACCTATGTTGGGCTCATCCCCACAAATCATTGGGCAAAGAATTGTAAAAGACATCAAAAATTACATGTTGCAATAGTGTGGTTTATTATTACTATTAATTATTTTATATTTTATAGCATATATTATATATTTGATATAGAACATATATTATATATAGAATATATAAACTATATACAAAGAATATATATAATTCATATTCTATATTATAAAAATATAATCCAGTTACTCTCTCAATGAACAGTGCAGATCTTGAAAGCGTTAAAATATTCAAAGGACATAGATACAGAGCAGAAGCACAGGTACTTCAGGCATTGCAATAAATAGTCTTCATGGTTTTGTTACAGTTCTGTACATGCATTTTTAAAAAGTTGCCAGTCTTTACAGAATAGCTCAGTTGTTAATCTAATATTGAAAGTGCTCAATTTTTCTTTTTTCTTTTAAACTGATCAGTCATTTTTATGTGGATGGTCTGTGTTTTTATGGTACAGAAAAGTAAATCAAATCAGGTGCAGTTGAAAACATTCAACTGAAAGCAAATTATTGACAGAAGAGTAAAGTTATCTCTGAGTTTAAAGCTGGAAAACAATTTTTCAGTTTTAAACTGCTGAGTAAAGCACAACAATGGAGAAAGGCTGAATAACACCTCTATTAAATTATTCAACTTGAAATATGTGCAAAAAAAAAGGAGATACGTTATCCATGGGTGCTGTTTAAATTCCTTCAGATTTATCCTCGCCCAGAACAGCTCCATGCACTTAGCTGTTTATTAAATATGTTGTTCTGGAAGGAGAAATGGATTCACAGCAGGACTTCTAAGCATTCAGGTCAGATCTGTTAAGTGGGCATTTCTAATTGTCTTTTTCTGTCACTGTATAAAACCAGATGTGTCCCAGAAACTACAAGGAAATCCCAAAAAAACCCTCTAGGAATAAAAAATACCTCCTGGTAGCATTAGTGTGTTTTGCCCCTGTTTCTCTGGACTTCAATAAGCCAAAAATGCAATGTGTTAAATTTCTGGCTTATATAAACAAGAAATTGAGGTTTTAAATATATTATTCTAATTGTCTTTTTCTGTCACTGTATAAAACCAGATGTGTCCCACAAACTACAAGCAAATGCCAAAAAAACCCCTCTAGGAATAAAAAATACCTCCTGGTGGCATTAGTGCTTTTTGCCCCTATTTCTCTGGACTTCAATAAGCCAAAAATGCAATGTGTTAAATTTCTGGCTTATATAAACAAGAAATTGAGGTTTTAAATATATTATTCTAATTATTGTTTAATATAATTTCTGGATATTAAAGTATATATTATTTGCTGAAATAACAATTACTTGTATATATCAATATACCTATAATGAGTGCATTCAGGGTGAGATCTGCAGCTTCTGTGGGATTATAAACAAATATTTGTTATTCCAGCATTCATTTAAGTGGAACACGTATTGGACCAAGTGAAAAATAAATTTCTGTAAGGTTTTTATTTTGCTCCTCTACTACCTTGCTATGAGAAAGGTTAATTTGAGTTCATACACCAGTGGTTCTTTCACACGAAGCAGAACTCACCCATGCTTTAAATGTTTGCAAGATCACAGAAGCCTTAACATTCCTCCCTTAGGCATTTGTGTTTTTCTACTAAAGTTCAACTTCTCATTTAGCCTTTAAGATACACATGTGCATGAAAGGGAGCTGCATCACACTTTTAAGAGAGAAAGTATCATTATTGCTATTTACACTTTCTGATCTTATTAATAAATGAAAATCAGATTTGAAACACTCCAAAAAAAACCCCCAGTGATGACATCAGCTCAGAATCTTTTCTCTACCAGGTATAACATATCTAAGTGCTGTTGCAATGGGGATCTCGCACAGAAAAATTATTTAGTTCATTTAATGTAAAACCCCAAAGCCCTAAGATGAATGGCTCAGCTGGAAGTCAATAAACAAAGGAAACTTGTTCAGATGGCAAAGGCTGCTCCATCCTCTCCCAAAAGCTCCTTGGATTGGAGGGAGCTCTCAGGCAGCCAGGTTGACACAGGCACCTCAGAGTTTGTTTCCTTGGCTTTTTTTGGCCCCAGCAATGAGTCAGAGCTAAATTTTGTCTTGCACTGGATTGAGCCTCTCCATCAGGCAGAAAACTTGATCCTGGAGAAATTTGGAGAAGTTTTGCAATACTGATTCTTTTTCAAGGCTTGAGCTTTGCTGAGAAACACCAAAAAATTCTGGAATTCCCTCTACAGAGAATTGGGAGCAATGGACACCTCCAAAGAAAAGTCAGGACAAGAGGAAATGGTCTGAAGTTGTGCCAGGGGAGTTTCAGATCAGATATTAGGAAAAAATTCTTCACTGAAAGAAGTGAAGAAATGTGGAAGAAGTGGTGGAGTCCCCATCCCTGGAGGGGTTTAAAAGACATGTAGATGTGCCACTCAGGTGTCACAGTCATATTTTCTGGAAAAATCCCTTTGCCCAGGATTGTTCTCCTAGGAAGCTGAGAAGCCTCAGAGAAAAAGGAAAACAATATTATCTGATTTGGTTCTCCTGTGTTTTGCTGCTTTGGAATGTGGTTGGAGATTGTTTATCTAACAGATGATTGTTTTACTGGATTCTTTTGTGAGTTGTTTTCACTCTTTGGCCAATCAGTGCCAGGCTGTGTCGGGACCCTGGAAAGAGTCACAAGCTTTTCATTATTATATTTTTAGCTTTCTGTCTGTATCCTTTCTGTATTCTTTAGTATAGTTTAGTATAGTTTTAGTATCGTATTCTTTAATATAATATAGTATCATAAAATAATAAATTAGCCCTCTGAGAACATGGAGTCAGATTCATCATTCCTTCCTTTTTCTGGGAACCCCACAAATACAATACTTGGGGACATGCTTTAGTGGTGGCCTTGGCAGTGCTGGTCAAGGCTTGGACTCAATGACTTTAAAGTTCTTCTCCAACCTAAACAATTCTGAGATTCTGTGCTGAGCCCACAAGCTGGTTCCAACCACCCGGGGCACCCTGCCAGGCCAGCCCTGGTCCCGTCCCAGCCTTACCCTGCCCCAGCCGCAGCCATGCTGGGTTTGCTGCTCCTCTGCTGCTGCTTAAAGCATCCAGCCAGGAGGTCAGGCATCAAAACGGGTGTGCAACCACCCTCCCTGCCCGCAGGGCTCAGCAGGAGGAGGGCTGTGGCTGAGGAGACATCTCTGTGCCCAGAGCTGCGCCTGTGATCTCACCCACCACACATCCTGCCGGGGCTGTGGGCTGTGCAGGCAGCATGAAACGCAGCACAAAACCTTCCTGCTGGGCAGCTGCCTCTGGGGACAGGCACAGCATTCTCAGAGGAGCTGGGTGCATGCTGCTCTTGCACATGGCAGCACCACAGCTGAGCGCCATCACAGCATAGAACCAAAGAATCATTTCAGTTGGAAATGACCTCCAAGATCACCTAGTCCAACCTTTGACCCAATACCTCAATGCCAAAGTGCAATGTCTGCTTGTTTTCTGAGCACTGCCACTGATGGTGACTCCACCACTGCCCTGAGCAGCCTGTTCCAATTCTTAGCTACTCGGTCAGTGAGGAAATTTTTCCTAATATCCAACTGAACCTCCCTCGGCTCCACCTGAGGCCAGGTTGTCCTATCAATATCTGACCCCTCTTCAGGCACACCAGGGATGAGATGCTGAGGTCTGGGGGCTCTTACAGGCAGGGTCACAGGAGAACTGCTGCCATTCTTCAACAAAGACCAAGCACAATCACCCAGCACAAGCACGAGGTAAACTCACTGACTGATGTCTTAGGGAGAGGTGCTGGGCTGCACTGATGCCCAGCTATGGGGCTTCAAAACATTATGCCTTAACATCAACACTGAATGCAAAATTTAAGGTAGGGTGTTTCATAACAGTCACTTAAAAGAAAATATACATTGACACAAAATATTCCTCGGGGCTGGGGTTGTATATTCCTGCCCTGAGAAATGAGCTGCAAATGGCATTCCTGTTATTAAAATACGTCTCAAATCATGTGGATGCAGGAAGGGAATGAGTCAGAGCAGTGGTGGAACAGCCATTACATAATTGATGTCTTTCCTCAGTCCTTTCATTTTAATCTGATGCCCATCACTGCCATAGCCATGATAATTTTGATTATCATGGCTATGGCAATTAAAAACATGGGTCACATCCCACTGT